AGCTCATTATATTATTTATTCTTCAAAACAGCCCTCAGGCTTAGTTAGAGGAAGTCAATATTATCCCACCCCTTCCCCTGGCCTTTTTTTTAAACCAGTGAAGAAATTGAGACTTGGAGAGGTTAGCATCCTCGAAGTCACATGGCTCAAAGATGAGGGCTAAATTGTAACCCAGGCCTCCGTACTTCCAAAGCCTCTACTTCACATCCATGATACTTTTTTTTTTTTTAAATATAAAGGTAATCATGAAAGCTATGCTGAAGGTATAAGGAATCCTGGTGGTATAGTGGTTAAAGTGATTGACTGCTAACCGAAAGGTTGGCAGTTCAAAACCACCAGTGGCTCTGTGGGAGAAAGATACGGCAGTCTGCTTTTGTAAAGATTTATAGCCTTGGAAACCCTATAGGGTCACTATGAGTCAGAACTGACTCGACGGCAGTGGGTTCTTCTGGTTTATGCTGAAGGTAAATTGGGCAGTTTAAGGGAGAGCATTAAATAATCCCCTTATTTTTTAATTAATAGTATCTTTTTTTTTTTTTTAAGTAATCACCACGTACCATAGAAAGTCTGCATTAGTAAATGGGAGCATGGGTGAGTTAGTTATAATAATGTTTAACAATTCTGAAAGCATGTTTATTATCTATTATCTCATTTCATCTCCTCAACAATCCTGTGAAGCCGTTTGGGGACAAATGTCCTCATTTTACACCTGAAAAACTCGGAGGGGATATGACTTCACCAAAGGCCTTCAGCTAGACTGGCCAGGGGCCTTCTGTGCCCACCCTGAGGGCGCCCTCCCTGCAGCTTCCCAGTAATGTCACTAGGGTTGGTCTCACTCAGTGTGGGTACTCATGGTGTCACCCCCCACCATTGACCTCCTCCCATACCAGACCATACTGAATCCTTAGTAATGTTTATTATCAATTTTAATCATAGAATACTATGTGATATCTACAGTTATAAAATGCTTAACTGTAATATTTCTTAGATTATATGAATATTAACAAGAAAATTGTTTTGTAAAATCTTTCTACATTGAATTACGTTATTAGTTACAACATTATTAGTAACAGAGGAAGCCTTTTTTGATTTTTCTCCTTCTCCTTTAATTACTACTTCATTCTCAAGAAAGTTATTGATACAGGTTCACAAATACTACTTACCACAATATTGTAGCTAAAACACCAGAAATTTTGACAAAATCAGCGACTATAAAAACACCAGCAACAACAAAAACAACAGCACGAGCTTGTAGCATGTACAGATGAAACAACATGATTTGAAGCATCATTATAATTGGGTAATAATGACCGCTCTGACCAGATCGTATTAGAAGGTTCAAAAAATAAATTAGCATAGAGTTCTAGCCTTGTAACTATACTGATAGGTATAAGCTCGGCTTTTGAAAAATGTTTTTGTTGTTATAACTAACTACAGGGATATTTTTTATAAAAAAATAATAAATATCTGCTGAAACAATGAACAAAAATTTTATAGACAGTCATTTTGGTGTCACTCCCCCTGACAGTGTCTCCCGGTGCTGTCCGCAGCCTCTGCTCTGCACCTCAATGACGCCATGCAGCTCCCTGCTGGGTTGGTGAGGAGAGACACGACCTTTCCTTACATGCCTGGGTGAGCTCAAGTGAACTCTGACTCACTAAGGGTTAAGCCACATAAACTGTTTTATGAGTAGTAACCATTTAATGTGCCCTATAAAAAACGGCCCCTCACCACGCTGGCTGCTTTCCCTTGGAAAGGGGGTGCCAGCAGGGAACAGAACTCGAACTTCAGGCCACCCTCTGGGTGGGGGTGGGGCAGGTACAACACTGCAGTTCTGAAGGCTTCTTTGTGGGTTAAGAGTTCTTCTGGATGCTTCCAGGTCATGGTGAGAGATGAAGTCTGATCGGAGAAAAGGGGCTTGTGGGCATTCAACTCCAAGTGGAGAACTGGCTCATGTTGTCCTGAACATTTATTGAGCTCTTTCTTACTATCAGAGCCCTGGTGGCACAGTAGTTAGGAGCTTGGCTGCTAACCAAAAGGTCAGCCGTTCAAATCCACCACCTGTTCCCTGGAAACCCTGTGGGGCAGTTCTACTCTGTCCTGTAGGGTCAGTATGGGTCAGAATCGACTCGACAGCAATGAGTTGGTTTGGTTCTTACTACCTGCTAAGCAGTGTACATACATGACCTCACTTGATTCTCACAACCCTTTGAGTTTGGGGTTGTTCCTATTTTACAGTTGGGAAAAGTGAGGACCAGAAAGTTTTCAGCTAGACAGACTTGTAAGTTATTCAAAGTTATACGCAGTAAACAGGGGATCTGAACCCACATCTCCCCACGTCCAAAACCTAGGGGCTTACCCTCACACCATCTTGCTCCTGTTTGTTGGGAGGCTGTGAACAATAGCAAAAGCACACAATGGAAAAAAAACCCTGAGCCAGCTGAGAAGGGTGCTCATGGTTGGCCTGGATAGGTCTTGCTCCCACTGAAATGGCCACTTTGAAACAGCCTTGGGGGCAAATCCACTTGTGAGAATTGCAGGGAAGCCTTTCCTTGCCCATCCTCCCTGAGCCTGTGGGGCCAATCCCTCCATGCAAATGGGCTGGGCACTGAGCTTCAGCCCTTTCAGGGTTAAACAGTAACCTTCCTACTGCTTGTGGTTGAGCAAATGCTGGCAAGGAACAAGCCCAGCCTTGAGCAAACAGAGACGGGGCCATGTCTCCCACTCCCAGCCTCACCCTCTGGAGACTTGAAGGTTTTCTTTTACCTTGAAGTCCCCAGTCTGATCTCTGAGCATTAGGGCAATTGCTGTAGAAGGCTGGATGGGAAAATGCCCAGCTAGTGTGAAAATGAGAAGGGTTGACTTGGGTTAGTTTTCCCTCTCTGAGGGTGAGAATCAAAGAAGTTTCTAGAAGGGAATTTAAGGACCCATTTAGTCACCTTCTTTAAATTTTCAGATGGGGAAACTGAGGCCCAATGTTGTTTCTGGTTCAGGTTATCCAGAGAGGCAGTGAGTTTCCTCAGCATAACATCTACCATATAGTAATTGTGCCCTACTTTGTGCCAAGTGCTCAAGATACAGAAATCATTTAATCTGCAACCAATGTACATGGTAGGCATGATCACCTATATTTTACATATGAGGAAACTGAGGTTCAGAGAGGTTAAGCAACTTATCTGAGTTAGCACTAATCTTAGTAAGTGTGGAGTTTGGAATCAACCCAATTCCTTATGGCTTCGAAGCTCTTACATGCAGTGCCAGGAAGTAGAATCCGGCTCTCCTCTCTTCTACCCAGTGGTCTCTTCACTGTTACAGCATCCACCATTCCCACCCTACCTTTCCTTCTCCGCCTTCTACTTAGCCTGGACTCAGGCCTAATTATTTACCAAGCAACAGTGATGATGATGCTAATAATGGTCATAAATGTTCATGCCCAGCCTAGTTCAACTCTTAATCACTGCAGTACTTAGAACAGTGCCTAGCCCATTATAGAGCTGATAAATATTTACTGAATAAATCCTTATGCTTTCCATGCTTTCCCGAGGCCCCTTCTCTCCCCACTCAGGCTCTACACAGACCCAGAAGACCAGCAGCTAAATTAAGGGAAGGAGTTTCAAGGGCTGGCACTGCTCTGGGTGGTCAATTTCAATCCTGGGGACATGGGTGACACCCCGAGGATGTCAGGTTTCCCCAAAATAGGCAGAAAAATTTCCATGACCACTTCTATACAGCTAGACTCCTCTCCCCACCCCAATATTTTATAAAGAGTATATTTCCTTTGTAGACCTGGGTAATGCCCAGTAGCCTCTGGGAACAGTCCATTCTTCCTTTGAATGATTGAACACACTTCTGGGGCTTTGGTTTGAAATGCAGAGGGTGCCTGGCTTGGGGGTAGGGACATTCTAGGTGCTGGGACACTGAAGATGGTTTTTCTTTTTCTTTTTTTTAAAAATAATTTATTTTTGTTGCTGTTGTTGAAAATACATGCAGCAAAATATATACCAATTGAACAATTTCTACACGTACAATTCAGTGACATTGATTACATTCTTCAAGTTGTGCAACCATTCATAACCTCCTTTTCTGAATTATTGCTCCATCATTAACATGAACTCACTAAGCTTTCTATCTAACCTTTCCAGTTGCTATTGTCAATTTGAGCCCATTTAGATGGTTCTTTAAAACAGCACAATGCTCAAGGCAGACATGAAGAGGGTATTTTTTAAGTGTAAAATGTTTATGTTGTTTTAAAAAAATCCAGACAGGCCCATGGAAGAAGGGCTTTTCTTGTGGGTCCTTTACTTTGGGTCAGTTTTGCAGCCTGGTGTATTCTGTAGGTCTCTAAACAGAGAGGAAAAGCTAATCATAATTTCCTATTCACCAGGAATGAAGAGAAAGGGCAGTGTCCCAGTGAGAGAAACCAGTTAATTCCTCATGTTATCACAGAACCAAAGAATTCAGGACTCTATACTTCAAGGACGGCTGAGACCTCATGAAGATCAGCCCACCCTGTGGCAGATCCTGGCTCTGAAGGGCCTTGATACAGGGCAGGGCTGCTCAGGGTTGTTGGGATGAGTGAACGACTGGTTTCAGATTAGAGTTCCAGCATAGGTGTCAGCTCTGCACCTCTGCTGGCTTGGGTTTTCATTGATTTAAATTCCACTTTAAACAAAATCTCTTTGGCATTTTCACTTTTGTAAAACACTTGGGTGCTGGCCAGCCTCGCCCAGTGAGCAGGCATTGCATTTTCCTCCTGCTTCATTCCTGATCAGGGTGGCTGTAAAAACTTGCCTCATGCATATGAAAATCGAACCTGGAAATTTTTTAATCACCAAAAAGCTTTGCTTTTAGTGAAAAGGCCATGGCAACATGTTTTGGAGACATGGGTGAAAGGACAGACTCTTTTTTTTTTTCTTCCTAAAGTGACTTTATGATCTACACTCTCAAATGATGTTTGTCCAGGAGATACCGACTGACTGGGCTGTTTGGTCCTCTTACAGATCATGATTCTGGAAGGAAGTGGTGTAATGAATCTCAACCCCAGCAACAACCTCCTCCACCAGCAGCCAGCCTGGACAGACAGCTACTCCACGTGCAATGGTAAGAGGGCCAAGTGGTGTTATGTCATTCCCACGGGGATTCTTCTCTTACTTTAATGATGCTTCCTCTCCCAATTTAATGTTTGAAAAAGACAGTTTTTTTTTTTTTTTTAATGGGGGTGTGGGGACCAGGGGGAACAGGGAAAACTCCTGAAGCTGAAGTTCCCTGTAGGCCCCCAGGGCTCCAAGTAAAAGCCCATTTGAGATATCTATCATCTCTCAATATTCAAGGTGCTGGGTTGGCAGCCTGGCAGAGAGGGTGGTAGAAGAGATGCCCAAAGGGAAGGCTACCTGTTGAAGCTTTCAACAGTGTTTGGCTGGGATACCAAGAAAGGATAGGAGAGAAGGTGTGTGTGTGTCTGTACACATGCATGTGACACACACACATACATACAGGTGAACGTGCACACACACACAAGCATAGAGCTTGAGGAGAAGAGGTCTATAGCAGCTTAATCTTTCTATTTAATCTTCCAGTGATTTCCCTTTGTAAGGGAAGAGGAGATTTTTTATACTACCAGGTGCTCTCCTTTAGTGCTTTAATCTAGAACATATTGATTAGAGGACGGGGTAGATACAATCTTGGACTTGGTGGTGGGGCTTATAGAGGATTTGGTGATCAAACCTGTGGCTTACTGTAGAAGCTGAACTGAACAAAGTTATTGCTGAATCAGGGGCCCCAAATCCCAAATGACAATTATATTATAAGGGCAGTCAATTTAGGCAGATTGCTGTGCATCAAACAGGCCAGAGACGTTCTGGGTCTTATCCCACCCCAGACCTGCTGCTAATTCTTGAGCAAGAGACTCTGCTGTTCTGGCTTCCCTGGAAAAATGGAAATGGCCTGTGGTGAGCAGAGTCTGAGAAGCAGGAGTGACAGGATCATACCTGTTGCTGCTGAATTGATTCTGACTGGTGGTGACCCTATCGGACAGAGTAGAACAGCCCCATAGGGTTTCCAAGGCTGTAAATCTTTATATAAGCAGACTGTCACATCTATCTCTCGTGGAGCAGCTGGTGGGTTCAAACCACTGACCTTTCAGATAGCAGCCTAACGCTCAACCACTGCACCACCGGGGTGAAAGGATCATGGAAGGGTTATATTCTCCAACAACCAGCAGATGCATGTGGAACCCCAGCTCTTTTAATTTGGAATCCAGCCACACATAGTTGAAAGTTTGAAACAGGTAAGCTTCCCATCATCGATAGCTATCCTACCAAATCGCTGTCCTTCCTGAGCAGTTACATTTTCTGTTGCAGGCCTCCCTGTGGGGACTAGAAAGATGATTCCAAATAGAGCTAGAAAGTTCTTCAGACTGGACAGTCTTTGGGATCCTCGACCCTAGGTTAAGGCAGCATCATTCCTCCTGTTTGCTTTGGAGAAAGCTGGAAAAACATGTTTAGTAGGGAGTAGAATTTAGAAGCAACTTTATTTCTTAACTTCCAGAGGCCCCAAAAGGCCCAACTCCTGGTCACAATTGATGGGGAAGGGGAGATGAGTTGAATGACAGAGAATAGCTGAACTCATTAGATTTTCAGTGCTTCTCGTGAAACTTCAGGAATCTGAGAGGTCCCTTGGCCGATGTGGAGTCTCCCCAATAAACTTTAGACAAAATTCTCTGGTTCTTCTAGTTTCTAATATGATGCAGTATCAGCAACTATCCTTTAATTAGATTATATTAAGTTTGGAGAAGAAATTATTCAAGGTCTGTTGTTGGGTTATTGAGAGTTGTTGCCTTTCAATTGCAAATCCAGAGCTGCACAGTTGTAGAAACACAGTTATTTTATAGGAAAAAAAAAAAGATCAAAGACTTGGAGAGCCACAAAAAATATATACCATCCTTGATCAGCTATCTGTGTGAGACACCAAGAAATTGAGGGAGAATGGAAACATCCATTATAAGCTCTGTTGTTTGTACGTTTGGGAATATTTCTATATAACTAAAATATTGGACTAGATTTTTCCAATCCCTGCCCCCACCTCCCATGATGGCTTCCTCTTCAGGGTCCTAGATGAGACGTTTGGGCTGTTTCTTCTTGGCAAAGGCGTAAGGAATGAGGCATACACTGTGAATAGCAGTACTGCTGATAGTTGTCACCCTTGTGTTCTAAATGAACTTGACTTCCTACTCTTAGTGTTTCTGAAGTTTGGAAGTAGTGGGTGGGTTCTGATAGGGTTGTGCAAAAGTGGGGTTGGGTTGGAAACGTTCCTCCCTTAGCCTCTCCTCTGGGAGTTTTGAGAGCCAGGCCATAGGCATCGTGGGAATCACATCTTTCTGAGCTCTTTAGCACCTTGCCACTCAAAGTGTGTCCACAGACCAGCAGCATCAGCATCACCTGGGAGGTTGTTAGAAGTACAGAATCTCAGGCCCCTCACCAGGGCGGCTGAATGAGAATCTACATTTTAATAATAGTCCCTGGGATTCATAATCACATTCAGATTTGAGGAGAACTGATCTAGCATGACCTTGAAGAAAAGAGTAAGGAAAAGTTTCCCTGCACTGTGGTTTCCTTTATTGGTCCATCCTTGAGTTTGTGGGAATATCTATGTGCCAAGTTTAATTGGATTTTCCATGCTTGAGCTTGGTGGGGTGCAACTGTGTCTTACCCTAGCCCCTGCCTCTCATCTTACCTAGAAGAGAGCTCCTCTCCTTGGCTTCTGTTTTCAAGGAGACTGTCAGCTCTCTCAGCCCTGTTAAATGCTCCTAGAGGCATCCCCCAAGATTTTGGGCCAGCTATGGACTCCATGTGATGTACTCCTGTGAACATGAGGGAGTCAGATGCCTAGATTGTTGGCACAAAGTGGACTCAGCTGTATTTGTTGGCTTGAATGAACTTCACATCTGCACTGGTATTTTAATTAAGCATCTTGTGAATGCACCTCACAACTCTTCCAGATTCCTATATTATTTCTTCTTCAGCAACAAATTCCATTAAATAAATATATAGTGAGCACCTACTATGGCAAGGACTCAGAGGTAGGTTTTATAGGAGGTTCAAAGATGAGTAAGACGAAGTCCATGACCTTGAGCATACAATTTATGGGATTGACTAAGACAGTACACAAAGGCCTATCCCACCAAACGACTGCCATGAAAAGTAGACCACAACAAAAACCATCAGGAGAAATACCAAGCAAGTCTGGAGATTCAGAGGAGTGCGAGCTCTCACAGTAAGGTCAGGGGAATCAGTGATGGCTTTATGCGGTGGTTGGAGTTTGAAAGATGGGTAAGAATTCAACAGGAAGTGATAGGTAGAATATAAACTGGGCTGAAGGAACAGCATAGAAACAGGGCAAAAGTCATAGGTCACTTGAAAAATAGTAAAGGGCCTCAATGCCTGGCTGGGTAGTGTTGTACCCAATTTCAGTGAATAATGGGCAGTTACTGAAGGTAACTGAGTAGGGCAGTGACATCATAGTAGCTATAAGCAGTGTGGGAGGGTGGGTGGTATCAGCACAGTTAGCAGATGAATAATCTGGACCACTTTGGTGGGAAGCAAAGGCATTACAGAGAAAAGACTCTTAATCTCAGGCCTCATCTTTGGTCAAAAATGGTTTGAGTCTTAGATGTATGTGTTTCTGTGTGTGTATAAGACAGAGAGATAAAATAGGAAATAGGCAGGGGTGGGTGCAGGAGGGGAGGCAGAGAGAGAGAGAGAGACATTTTGGTGTGGGTAACAAGCTGATAAATTGCCGAAACTATAACAACACTTCAGCTATTGTGGCACTTCTTTTGTGATGGGGGAAAATGCGCCCAGAGCACTTAAAGTCTTTTCTCCTCCTCACCAAGCACCTGTTGTTGTTGCTGTGTGCCATCGAATCAATTTTGACTCATTGTGACCCCATGTGACAGTATAACTGCCCCATAGGGTTTTCTAGGCTATAATCTTTCTGGGAGCAGATCACCAGGTCTTTCTCCAGTGGAACCACTGGGTGAGTTTAAACTGCCAACCTTTTTGTTAGCAGCTATGCACTTAACCACTGCGCCACCAGGGCTCCTTACTGATTGCCTTGGGGTCAGTATTACTATGCTAGGACATGAAGATGCATGGGGACTAACTGATTGGAAACCACGTTTCCATGAGTCTTTTCCAGAGCCTGGCTCATGCTCCCCAGCCCCTTCACTGACGCATGTGGACTATGGTTGGTATGTCTATGACATCAAAGAACAGCAGTGTGTTTCCATGTCTGAGATTATTCCCAGGCTCAATCATAAGTCATTCAAGGGATGACCTCCTGTTTTGCAGTTTCCAGCGGGTTCTTTGGAGGCCAGTGGCATGAAATCCACCCTCAGTACTGGACCAAGTACCAGGTGTGGGAGTGGCTCCAGCACCTTCTGGACACCAACCAGCTTGACGCCAGCTGCATCCCTTTCCAGGAGTTTGACATCAACGGCGAGCACCTCTGTAGCATGAGTTTGCAGGAATTCACCCGGGCAGCTGGGACGGCAGGACAGCTCCTCTACAGCAACCTGCAGCATCTCAAGTGGAACGGTGACTATCTCTCTCCCTGACTGCTGGGAGCCAGCTGGGAAGATGGAGGCTCCAAGGCCAGCAGGGTTCCTGGTCTCACCTCCAAATTACTGTTTCCCAAGACAGGGAAGTAGAAGGGAGGTGAGAGAACAGGAGCAAAGCCTAGGGTGCGAGGTGTGCTAATCCCTTCTGAACACTGGTCTATTCATATACTGAATTTGCTCCTTATGGTGATGTTAAGTTTCAAAGAGACAAGGACCAGTTAGGTATTCGCAGAATACTTACTGCTTTCAGGAAACCTTATTTTCTTCCCCTTGCACCAGGGTTGATAGTTTAATTCCCAATGATTTACTTGTTAAAGTCCTTAACAACTACTTGCATGTTAAAGAGATCATGTTGTTTTCGTGTGCTGCTGAGTTGATTCTGACTCATAGCAACCCTATAGGATGAAGTAGAATTGCTCTGTAGGGTTTCCTAGGTTGTCATCTTTACAGGAGCAGATTGCCAGATCTTTTTCCCCATCGAGCCTCTGGGTGAGTTCAAAATGCCACCATTTTGATTAGTAATGTACCACAAATCACTTGTACCACCCAGAGGCCTTATGATGGGGCCTAACGGTAATAAAAAGATGCAGAAGTAGATTCATGTTTGTGTTTTGGTAGGAGAGAAGGCTCATAGTATTTCATTAGATTCTTAAAAGATGCATAACTCAAAACAAGCGTTAGAACGCTGGTGTGGACACGTGAGATGCTTCTGCAGTAGTTTCTGGAATTGGTGCTACTTTAAAACCCAAAATGTCTCTCTCGAAGTCTCACCCAGCACATGCACAGCCCCCCATCCCAAATACTGTCCTCAAACATGCACACACTTCGTGCCAACTTGTAAGACCCAGTAAGGCAGACAGCTCATCTTGCAGAATGTCTTTGACATTTTCCCATGATAATGGCTATGAAAAACTAGCTCCTCTGAGAGTTATGGACATCTTATAAAGCAATGATATCTAAGGAGAGTGAGCTGGCCTGTCCTCATTGGAAAAGGCACATCCATATTAGCAGAACCTGGGCTTGGGCAGGTAGCTGGGCATTGGGAAGCACAATTTCCAGAACTGGGAACCAGATACTGCTCTGACAGCTGCCTTCAACAATGAGGAGGACTGCAATCTGGCCATAGAGCCTGGAGTTGTGGTCGCCATTTTAGATGATCTCATTCAGCTCTCTGGCACTCCCTTCTTCCCACCCACCCCACAGTGGTGGTTGTTCATTTTTCTTTTACTAGAACCAAACCAAACAAGGCTCTATAAATAACCCCCAGGAATCTTCAGAAAGAGCAGATTTACACTTGAAGAATTAAAAACATTTACCTCCCCACCTCCAATTAAATCCACTCCTTTAAAGCTTTGCCCTGATTGAAGCCCAAGGCAGAGAGGCCTGGGAAGTGCTGTGGCCATCCTTGACCTTCCGTGACTTGTTTGACCTCACCACAAGCTGTTGCCTCTGAATTATTGATGATCAGCCAGGTTCCTCACCTCTGTTTTGTTGTTTGCCCTTTTGTAGACATTGTATTAACATTTATTGTTTACTTATACGAGGCATGCTAAGTGAACTGGTTTATGTAACGACCTTATGAGAAAAAGAACTACTATTGTACCCATTTTACAGATGTGGAAACTGAGGGTCAGAATGGCTGAAAGCCTGACCTCTTTCTCTGAGATATTTACAATCTGCGTGAGGAGGAAAAATACATTAGATTCATTCATGTGTATATATGTGCTTTAATATATAACACAACTAGAGAGGAGTTGTAAGCAAACACAAGGATGTGTGGTGTGCACTGCTAGTACGTGTGCTGAGGGCATAAATAAGGGAAGAATTATTACATTTATCTAGACATATCGCATAAATTAAATCTAATCAAGATTTAAAAAAAAAAACAAAAAACAGTTGCCATCAAGTCCCTTCCTACTTATGGTGACTCCATGTGAGCCAGAGTAGAACTGTGCTCCATAGAGTTTTCAATGGCTGATTTTTTGGAAGTAGATCACCAGGCCTTTCTCCCAAGGAGGCTCTGGGGGACTCAAACTGCCAACCTTTTGGTTAGCAGCCATGCCTGTTAAATGTTTACATCACCCAGGGACTCACTGATCAAGATGGGCTTGATTAAATTTAATATCAAAGAAGAAATAATCTAGTTAAATTAAAATAGTTTTTCCATATTTTTATTTTCATTTTGTATCAAATCTTAGCATTGCAAACACCTTAGAGATCATCTAGTGACTTTATCTAGTTTAATCTGCTAAATTTAGAGATGAGGAAACAAACTGAGACCTAGAGAGGTGAAGTGCCTCACAGCTAGTAGTGGAAAAGCTGGTCTCCTGACTTCTGGAGTTCTATTCCACCATATTGGATGACTTTCCTATACAATTCCAAATAATTCCATTGGATGTGGGTGTCCTAGACAACTGATCTTAGGGGGCCGGGACTCCAAGCTTGAGTTTGCAGAGCCTGAGAAGGAAGCTCTTGCCCATAAGCAAATAGAGGCAAATGGGTACTGAAATTGGCCACAGCTCTTCAAAGATCTTTGTTTAAGGATCAAGTTTTGGCTCCATCTGGGCCCTTCTGACTTTGCCAATCTGTCCCTCACAGGCCAGTGCAGCAGTGACCTGTTCCAGTCCACACACAATGTCATTGTAAAGACCGAAGAAACCGGTGAGTAGTAGCAGACCAGGGACGCCAACTTGGTTAGGCAAATCCCTGGGGAGAAAAATCCGGAAGGGGCATAAGAGAGAGCATGAGAACAGGATGGACCCAGTGCTTTGGTAGGGAGCCCAAGAAGTCCTCTTCCCTGGCTCTCTCCACTGGGCCACCCCACCATAAGCCTTATCCCTTAATCTTGGGGGTGGTGACAGCCAGCTATTTCTGATTTATAGACTGATAATAAGCCTCCCCTCTGCCCACTCTTCCTTGCCTCCCACTACTGGCCAGGCAATATCCAGGTCCATATCTAGTAAGAATGCAGCATCTAATGTGGGCTTCCTTCTTACCACAAAGAGTAAGGAGATCGGACTTGGCAGGTTAGAAAAAGCAGGGGAGGAGGAGAGGAATAAAAAATGTCTCCTCTCCTCCCTCTCCTCCCAAAAGGAGGAGGATGCTGATATTGTAGTTAATGTAGTTTCTGGAGCCCTTAGGAGCTTCTGTGGGGTTGCCCAAAGGCAGCTGTGGAACCAAACTTTTAGTGCACTTTTATAAGAAAGAATGTTCTGGATTCCGAGCAAAGTCTGAAGTTCCATAGTATCTACATTTAATTTTGTTTTTGTTTCCCTCCTTCCCTTGTCCTAGGTCTCTTCCCTGGGGATTTTCTGTCAGTCAGTTGGACTTGGAAGGAGCAATAACTGCCTTGAAGGGAGAAATTGCTGCCCTGGGCCTTGTACCACTCAGAGCTCCTTTAGCCTATGGCCTCTCAGTCTAGGAAAAACTATACAAGACCCCCAAAGCCCGTGGGCCATGATAAACTGTGCAGCTGCATTGTCTAAAATTTGCAGTTGCTCATGGGTCCGCTCCTATGTCCACACCCCGGTGGGGCTGAGTGTGTCACAGGCCTCCCCAAGGGTTGCGTGCCAGTCACCAAGGATAGAATTTGACCTAGAGGTGATTTGTGAGTCACTTGGGGCTTGCCAGACTTAGTCCTATGTAGTTATTTATTCTTTTGTAAGGGGGCTGGCCTACCATTATGAAAGAAAAAACAATAGCTGCTAAACATGTTAATTAGGCCTTCCTGTCCCTGCCCTTCCCAACCAGACACTAGCTGCTGGGCTACCTGTATGTTTTGTGCTCTATAGGTTTGCCCGCCCTAGAGAGGGACACAGGACTTTGCCGAGAGGATGGTGTCCCCTCCCCTTGGTGACCTGACAGATACCCCGCTGGAGGAACCAGGGGTGGTATTGGAGAGGTCCTAAATAAGTTGATAATTCCTCCTTGACCATCCAGACATTCTTGCGTTGCCAGTTCAGAAAAGCTGAGCTGAAGGGTGGAGAAGGAGGTCCACCCTGGGAGGAGGGGAGAAGAGGCCCATGGAGGGGCCAACACCCCCAAACTTTTTGGTTCAAATTGTTTTCAGAGACAACAACAGGTGTACAAGGTGACCAAACAAGGAGAGAGGGTGTAACCCCAGGAGATTGGGGTTGGGGTGTCCAAACATGTAGCTATTAGTTAGAATACCAGCTAAATCCCTATGTCGTAAACAGGAGAACTTAGCCAGTGAGTCAGGGTTTATACCATTTGTGCTGTAAAAACAAAATGAAACTCAGCCAGCAGCTTACCACCTGGGCCCCAAGATTCAGAACCTGGGCAGGAGGGGCACTGAAGGCAGACCAGATCCGTGAAGAGGCAAAAGCAGGAAGTTCCTTATGGGAATGAGATGAGCACTCACACCAGATCTTACAGGTCTTGGCCAGCCAGGAAAGAAAATGCTTCTGTTGGAGATCAGCCCAGATCTGGGGAACTGTGTAGGAGTTGGGCTTCATTTGGAGTAGGTGGAGGGGAGTTTCCTTTGATTCTGAAATCTGAAGAGTTAATCAGAGTGAGACATGCTTAACGTGCACACTGAAGAGAGAGAAAGAGAGAAAGAGAGGGAGACACAGTTTCTTCTCCGAGATAAGGCAGTGGTGCCCACTCTTAAAAGCTGTTTGATTTTATAACACTCTCCTCCCCTCCTTCTCCTTAATTTTGTTTTGAGAATGTTATGTCACCCCTTAAAATAATTGAAGAAACACTGGAGGGACGGGGCTGTCACCCAACTTAGGTGAGACTCTCTCTAGACTTTGGCAGTGAAATAACTGTGATAAGACTGAATAGAACTTTTCTGAAAGAAACATCTTTAATTCTCCCAAGAAAATATTAGTAGAAGAAAATCACTAATCCTTTATTGTAAATTCATTTGTCCCAAACAAGGTTTTTGTTTTCTGGTGTAAAAATATTCTAGTGATTATATAGGAGAAGGAGCCCTGGTGGCACAGTGGTTAAGAGCTTGGTTGCTAACCAAAAGGTCGGCAGTTCAAATCTACCAAACGCTCCTTGGAAACCCTATGGGGCAGTTCTACTCTGTCCTATAGGGTTGCTATGAGTCAGAACCGGCTCGACGGCACCTAACAATAACAACAACAACAACACATAATAGAATGTAAGACAACCCCAAGCCTATGGACCCACACTACCTGCTATGTGCAGGCTGAGAAAATTCCCAGGAAACCAAGTCATTGGTCCAAGGCAGGATCCTACAGTTGTAACTTCCCGCACTTTCCTAAAGTGCAACAGGTATAGGACATATTGCCAGGGCCATAGCAAAGTCCATTTTCCCAGGAAACTGAAAAAAAAAAAAAAAAAAAAAACGGGATAACATTATAAAGTCACATGTGGCCAAAGCTCTCTCTGAGGATTACCCCCTAACTGTGTTCTTTGATGAGCAGTGAGTTAAGGGAAAATGATCACAGAGCTGTTCCATTTTCTATCCTTTGTAGACCCTTCTATCATGAACACCTGGAAAGAAGAAAACTTTTTATACGACAGCAACTATGGTAGCACAGTAGGTAACTAACTCCCCAACATTTAAGGCTCTTTTACATTCTTGCTCTGTGTAACAGCCACAACGTTATACTGCAAGGAGGGGGACTCTTAATTCCCTTTTGTCTTTTCTTTGCCACAGATTTGTTGGACAGCAAAACTTTCTGCCGGGCCCAGATCTCCATGACAACCACCAGTCACCTTCCTGTTGGTAAGTTGTCCTGACTGACGCTGAGTGTGCCTAATGCAAAACCTTACTGAGAATTAAGAATTACCAGCACCCTACACTTCCACTTTACTGGAATCTTTCTCATGAAAAGGCTAGGAAAGGAATGGAGTTGTCCATTTATAAGAAGTCTGATTTTGAGCCAGTATTGGTACATCAAAAATGACCAGCAGGGATGCCTCTAACAAAGTGTTTGCCTCCAGTAAAGTGAGTCACTCTCCACGCTTGTTCACTCTTTCCTCTCTTTTCCACAAAAATTTGTTCTTAGGAAATTACTTCTTCATATGTTCATGTCAAATTATTTATACCTTGGTATACTTATGGAGAAGGAGGCTATATTTAAATTTCAACAAACTACATTTGGCTTAGGTGAAAGAGTGTTTAACAGTAGAATTTAGAGGTAAATGAGCCTGTGGTGATGGTCTCTGGGTGGAGGGGTAGCAACTGGAAATTTCTGGAACCCCAAAGGCACACCATTTTGTCAGTTTTTAAGTCTGACCCAGATGGCTCATCAGGACTTTCCCATCAGTCAGAATACCTACACGTCATGAATTACGCTCACATGAGTTGCATCTAATCTTAACCATTTGGTTAAGATTGGATTCAACTGGAGGCTATCCATGACTGTCAATCAAGATTACACCAAACCAGAGGGATAGTATAATGGGAGTGTGGGAAGGGGTCTTTCAGATTACTCCTCCTTCACAAACAGACAGGTACACCTGCACGTACACTGTAGGAATGAGTCCACTGAGGAGGTGAAAAGAGGATTTCATGTCCCTTGACCTGGGTGCCAACTTCTGGATCTCTTTGGGTCCATGAAATAGAGCTTAGACCTCAGTCACATATGACGTGCTCTTCTCCTGGAATTGGATTTGGGGCAACTTCGAACTGGGATTTAAACGAGTCTTTGTGAAAGAAAGTGTGGAGTCAAACAACAACCCCCTCCCTTTTTCTTTTTTTTCTTTGCTTTTGTTAATGTGAGTTTTTAAGAACGGAAAAATGAAAGCTTTTGGTTTGAGGTTTTGTTCAGGTCAAGCTCCTTGAATGAGACAAGGCTTGGTAGTTAGGTGCTGTTGAGTCAGTTCCAACTCATATTGACCCTATGTACAACAGAATGAAACACTGCCCGGTCCTGTGCCATCCTCACAATTGTTGCTATGTTTGAGCCCATTGTTGCAGCCACTGTGTCAGTCCATCTTATTGAAGGTCTTCCTCTCTTTCACTGACCGTCTACTTTAGCAAGCATGATGTCCTTCTCCAGGGACTGGTCCCTCCTGATAAGATGTCCAAAGTACTTGAGATGAAGTCTCACCATCCTCACTTCCAAGGAGCATTTTGGCTGTACTTCTTCCAGCACAGATTTGTTTGTTCCTCTGGCAGTCCATGGTATATTCAACATTCTTTGCCAACACCATAATTAAAAGGCATCAATTCTTCTTCATTCTTCCTTATTCATTGTCCAGCTTTCACATGCATATGAAGTGATTGAATATACCATGGTTTGGGTCAGGGACATCTTAGTCCTCAAGGTGACAACTCTGCTTTTTAACACTTTCAAGAGATCTTTTGCAGCAGCAGCAGATTTGCCCAATGCAATACGTCGCTGGATTTCTTGACTGCTGCATCCATGGGCGTTGATTGTGGATCCAAGTAAAACGAAATCCTTGACAACTTTCAATCTTTTCTCCGTTTATCATGATGGTGCTTATTGATCAGTTGTAAGGATTTTTGTTTTCTTGATGTTGAGGTGTAATCCATACTGAAGGCTGTAGTCTTTAATCTTGTCAGTGAGTGCTTCAAGTCCTCTAGAATTGAGGTCAAGAGCAGAGGCAAATTCATTTCTCTTCTCCCCACCCCTACCCATAGCATTGTGTATCAATCTAAGTGTTTGTTGAAATTAGGACATAGATCAGACCCTGGAAAGGCTGCAGTGCATTTGTCATTCTGGGGGAACTGGAGCTAATTGGGGAAAAGTTTCTGTGGCAATGACTGCCACCCAGTCAAGGCCAAGGGTTTCAGAGCTGAGGAAACTACTCTAGTCACTCTCTGACTTCCTCTTGAACTTTCTAAGGTGTCACCTCCCACATCCTTCTGGTCAGGTCTTGACTATGGCGAAAGTTTCCAACCAAGAATAAGGTTCAACCAACCACTTCCTGAGCCTCACGCTTGTTAGGTCTTGAGGCACCTAGGAAACCTAAAAGCCAGAACCATAGCTCTACTGTCCTCACAGCCAGACTACCCTTCTCTTTACTATATCCTGACTTACCTTCTAGAATCTCAGAATTGGCAGGGGTCTTAGAAGCCAGTTTCTGCTTTTGTATTTGCAGTAATAGGTAACTCACTATCTCCTGAGTCCATTTATTTTTTAGTAAACCAACCAGTTTCTGTCGAGTTCACTCCAACTCATGATAACCCCATGTGTGTCAGAGTAGAAATGTGTTCCATAGGATTTTCAATCACTGATCTTTTGGAAGTAGATCACCAGAACTTTCTTCCTAGGCACTTCTGGGTAGACTAGAACCTTTAACCTCTCAGTTAGCAGCTGAGTGCATTAACCATTTGCACTACCCAGGGAATGCCAAAAACAAACAAAAAAGCCAAACTCAGAGTTGTTGAGTTGATTCCAACTATGCTGACACCATGTGTGTCAGAGTAGAACTGCACTTCAGAGGGTTTTTGATGGCTGTGACCTTTCAGAAGTAGATCACCAGGCCTTTCTTCTGCACCCAGAGAATAGTCCTTCTTAAAAAGCGATAAAATCTGTTTTCCCTTACTTCCCTTGGCCCTTGTCTCTGCCCCTATTCCTATCCTGTGATTGCAATACAGGCTGGAAAATGAGATAAGCAACCCATCCTCTCTTCCAGAATAATCACTTGAAGAGTTAATTCAGGGTCTGAGTTTGGTAAATTCTTTGGAGAAGGAAGATCAGTAGCAGCTCTCCCTCCCCTGCAAGTAGGATCTTTAATTCCAGCCTTGTATGGGTCAATTCAATTGGATCCCTGGTGGTGCAGTGGTTAAGAGCTACAGCTACTAACCAAAAGGTTGGCAGTTCGAATCTACCAGCAGCTCCCTGGAAACCCTATGGGGCAGTTCTACTCTCCTAAAGGGTCGCTATGAGTCAAAATCGACTCCATGGCAAAAAGTTTGGTTTTTTTGGTTATGAGTCAATTCGTTTCAGAATAGTTTAGTCTCTACTGGATGGGGCCAGAATCCCCCAAAAGACCTTTGCCATTTGCCTGAGTCTTTAGATTTTAAGCTCCCATAAAATAGAGTGCAGTTAAATATCTTTCTACGTTTTAATGCAAGTTACCAACTGAGCTAAGGCGAGGCTCACTGTAAACTGATGCCCTCTGTGAGAAACAAGGTGGGCAGACAGGCTTTGTTTTGATTTCTCTATCATCTGCCCATTTCATAAAATGGCCGCCGCCAGTGTTCCTGATTTGCCTGATAGTCCTCCAGTCAGTCACGCCAACTCAGGCTTGATGTATTTATCCACTGACTTGTTGAGCCTAAAGCTAGGGTGGCACAGTCTATTATAACACTGAAATTTGTATATCCCGTAAAGAAATGGCTCACAACTGACTCATATGCAAATACATCTAATCTTTGCTTCCTGTGAAGCAGCTTAGCTGAGGCCATGCTCTCACACTTGCCCCATAAGCCCAGGGCTCCTTGCTGTCGATGCCCCTGCCTGGGACTGGACCTTGGCCTGGGGTGCTGGGAGCAGAGCAAGAGAAAGCCAAGCTGGAACCCCCCCCCCCCCCCCGAGCAAGCCATTCTTTTATAGGAATGAATCACTTAACCACATGGCTCACTTCAAAAGTCCTAACTTTTATTTGACAATGAGGGGGAGGCCACCATATTAAAGTGAGGTTTTAGATCAAAAGATTTTGGTACTAAGGTAGGCCAGTGATTCCACAGCTTGCCTCAGCACATTCAGGATGGGGAGATGAGGCTAAAAGAAATCTGAGTTTTCTTTTTCCTTTGGTTGCTTATTCTCCCACATGATGATAGAAAATTTTTGAGGATTTTTTTTTTTCTTTTTTGGTATCTCCTAAGCTGAATGGGTAGAAGTCCGCTGTTAGCCGTTGTTAGTTGCTGTCTAGTCTGTTCCGACTCCTGGCCACCCCGTGTGTTACAGAATAAAACCATAGAGTTTTCTTGACTGTAATCTTTACAGAAGTAGATTGCCAGGCCTTTTCTTCTGTGGTACTGCTGGGTAGGTGTGAACTGCCTACCTTTAGGTTAGCAGTTGAGCTATTTTTTTTTTTTTTTTGTCTTTCGTAAGCTGGATGGAAGTCTAGCCTGTATAAATGGCTGACATCTCAAAGATACAATTTTCTTGTGGTCTATGTAGTCTGGGAGTTTTAACCTGGACTCTGCAGACTTTTAAGTGGGTCACAAACCTCTGAAATTGTTACAAAATTTCATGAGTGTACACAAATGCACTTTTTACTGGGAGGAACAGTCCACGGTTTTCATCTTATTCACCAAAGTACCTTAACCACAAAGTAATTGATTCTAGTTCAGATTGGAATCAATAAACAATAGGCTGGTCAATAAGCTGAGAGACACTAGGGTTTTTCTGACCTCAACCCTGGCTCTGAAATAATGGCCCCGCGTCCCTCCTGAATGCCATTTGCAATGAGCTTTGCTTGTGGCCTGCTGGGTAAATGCTGCTCTTTGTCTGCAGAACAACGTGGCCCTGTTACAGTGATGTATCGCTTGGAAACCGGGGTGGGTGCCAGACCTGTTGCAATGTTGTCACATCCTGATGGGATGTTGCAACCTCGCTGTGCAACCTACAGGGAGGGAGGGTGAGGGCTCGTTGCATTTCTGGTGAATTTGTCCTTGTAGATTTCAGAGTAAACCCAGACAGGTGCAGGTCCTTCTGAAGACAATGTCAGGAGACAAATTCTTAACAGAAGGAGAGGCTTCTCTTCTGTCCAAATCTTGTGAGATCCCTCTCCTCCGACTCGCCGTGACACTTCCAAGGAGCTTTTGTAGAAACTGCTGGGAGCCCTGAGTCATGACAAGCTGGGTGATCAGATAGGGAAGTGGGCCCATGCACATTGGGAAACACAGACTCATCAAATTGCAATTATTTTTTCTTGGTAACTCGAGAGCTAAAAACTAACCCTAGAGGCTCAGAAGCAGGGCAAACATGCCTGACTCTGGCAGAGAAGGCTGCCGTGCAATCTATCTGTTATGTTCTAAGGTGACCACTTTCTTTGGAAGCAGCATAGAGTAGTGGCTATGTGTAAAGCCCCTAGGTTCAAACTACTTGGGAGAACATCTTGGCTCCAGCTTCAGGCTGTGTAACTTTAGGCAAGCCATTTGACCTCTCTGTTTCTCAGTTTCTCCAGCTGTAAAATATGGACTGTCATAGTACCTACCTCGTAGGGTTATTGTGTGGATTAAATAAGGTAATTCATGTAAAAATCTTAGTGCACTACCTAGTACACAGTAAGTGGGTAATATTGTTAGGTGCCATTGAGCCGATTTCAACTCTTATAAACACATGTGACAGAGTAAGAACTGTCCCGGAGAGTTTCCTTGGCTATAATCTTTATGAGAGCAGATCACCAGGTCTTTCTCCTGCAGTGCTGCTGGGTGGGTTCGAACTGCCAACCTTTCCGTTAGCTTCCGAGCACTTAACCATTGTACCATCAGAGCTCCTTAAGTGCTCAATGAACGGTAGCCACGGTGGCGTGGTGGTTAAGTGCTAAGGCTGCTAACCAAAAGGTCAGCAGTTTCAAATCCACCAGGCGCTCCTTGGAAACCTTACGAGGCAGTTCTGCTCTGTCCCGTAGGGTCGCTATGAGTTGGAATCGACTTGACAGCAATGGGTTTTTTTTTTATTCCTCTTATCATTCTAATTAGGAGCTAATTAGTGGTTCATAAACTTTTTTTAGTAATGGACCATTCTTGACAATCTAATGAATGCCATGGGCCCTCTCCTTTTGCTCGCAGTTTCAGGCAATCCAAAACGCCCTTAAAGACTACACATGGCCACACGTGGGTCCAAGCACCCTAGGTTATGAAGCCCTGGTGTAATGAGCATGAAAGAGACTTGGGTTTTACTGTCACGGTTTCTTAAGAGGATTGGCTTGTGCTTAGGGACTATTCTGTATTAAAATTGGCTGGCTTTTGATTGTGGGATGTATGTTATGTTCATTTTTTGGTAAGCTCTTTTCTTGGTCCTCCTACCAGCCAAAGCGCCCATACACACACAGACACACATCCCTGGATCATTTAGTTTTCTTTATAAGAAGTTTTATTTCATAAATCTCCCTCTGTCGTCTCCTCTTTGGTGATAGTCTCAAGGGTTACCATAATGAGTCATTTGTTAAACTAATCTGTGTTTCCATAGTTGACTGTGGCCCTCTGTACTGAGCTGAGGCCAGTCAATGGCCCCTTTGTCAGGCTGATTAAAATGTAACTTTGCATGCAGAAAAAAAAGGCACTCCTCCAGCTTAAAAGTCATCTTTCTTTGTTATAAATGTTTACATTTTTATATTATGGAAAAAAAGAAAAAAAAAAAAGAAAACCTTCTAATGACCTAAATCTTTCAATGGCTTCCCACCTCTCTCACAATAAAAACTGAAGTCCTTCCAAAGCCCACAGACCTTAATGATCTGCACCTTTCATACTTCTCTGACTTCAGCTCCTACCCTCTTCCCTTTGCTCACCTGGCTTTTCTCTTTCTGCAGACATACCAATCACGTACTGACCTCAGGGCCCTTGCACATACTGTTCTCATTCATGGAAGGCTCTTCCACAAACTCTCTGCATAGTTCTCTACCTCACATCCTTTGGGTCCCCTTATCAGAGAGGTCTTCTGTGACCACCTTATATTAAATTGCAAATCACCCCACCTCCATGCTTCCTGTCCCCATTTCTTACCTTGCATTATTTTTCTCCATAACATTTAGTACCTCTGTTTTGTTTTGTTTCATTCCACATTCTTGGTGCCTGGCATGTAGTAGGTGCTCAGTAAATATTGGTTAAATGAGTGAATGGATGAAGGAAAATGATAATTGTAGGAAATATGTAAATTAAATGACTCTCATTTTTCTCCTTAGCAGAGTCACCTGATATGAAAAAGGAACAAAACCACCCTGCAAAGTCCCACACCAAAAAGCACAGTAAGTTGCCTGGATTTCTGATGGCTTTTGGCCCTTCCCTTCAAGTTGAATGTAACTGGTGGCCATTTTGTTTTAGACAAATATTGCCTCTGCTAGCTGCCTCCATTTCTTCGTCTCAGACTGAGTAGAGTGAGAAAATAGAGACATGATTTTCTAGCAAAGTAACCCCTTCTCCAGTCCTTTCTCAAAGTGGAGCCCACTGGGTATTTCCTCCTCATTCTGTCAAACGTCTTTCAAAATGGAAACACCCAGTGAATAAGAACTTCTTGTAGGCATGGGGTTTGAGATTTTCTTCTCTCAGAAAAAAAAGAAAAAAAAAAAAAAAGGTGTGAAGAGGAGAAAGATTGGAAGAAACTGTTGAAATTTATTGTTTTTTCTTTTGCTTAAATGTTGAATTCTTACTTTGTGGACTTGTCATTCCAAGAAATGCATGTTTACTCTCAAGATTCAATACTGCTCCTTGGGAGTTGGATTTCCCCTGAAAATATAATCTTATGAAAGTATGGAAATATTGGAGACATAGAGTTTGGTGGTGGGGGGGGGGTGGCAATAGACAGAAATCGAGATGTCATAATCTACAAATTATAGAACATCTTTATTTGCTACTCCAGGTGGTCCCATCTGAATTAATGTAGCCCCCAAGTAGGGGCATCAAAAGTCCAGCGGGGGTAAAATTGAACTTAGTTACTAATCTTATTACAGTATGCTTCATTTTCAAATTGTCCCCTCAAATTCCTGCTTGACCCCTCTTTCTCAATATATTCTAGGAGCAGCTAAATTGGTTGAGGTACTAACACAAGTGGTTGAAAGTTGTTCTTCAGGGAAATAACAAGGTGAAATAAATCCAGAGCCATTTGTCAATAGCAATTAGAAGAAACTCCCCATGCTAATGAGAGCTGATTGGCTTTGCTACTAGGTAGCTGTATATCCTTGGTCAAGTCACTTCAGCTTTCTGGGCCTCAGTTACCTGATTTGTAAAATAAAAAAATTGAACTAGTTCATTTTCAAATGCCTTTTTGATTTCCAATATTTGGTGATTCTGGGCCCTGGCTTCCCAGGTGAGTAGGGGAGAGTTGAGCATCTCCTACTTGATGGAAAATGTTCTAAGTTGATGCTTCCTCTGCCCATTTCTTTTCTGTGACATAGGCCATTGGAAAAAAAGAAGTTATCATTGAGTCAACTCAGACTCATGGCAACCCCATGTGTGTCAAAGTTGAACCGTGCTCCATAGGGTTTTCAATGGATGACTTTTTTTTTTTTTTTATTGTACTTTAGATCAAGGTTTACAGAACAAATAGTTTCTCATTAAACAGTCAGTACACATATTGTTTTATGACATTGGTTAACAACCCCATGACTTGTCAACACTCTCCCTTCTCGACCTTGGAGGACCTTTTTTTCTTTTTTTTTTTTTTAGTGAAAATATACATAGCCAAAGATAACCATATCAAAAATTTCTGCAATTCAGTGACATCAATTATGTTCTTCACAATGGATGACTTTTTGGAAGTAGATCGCCAGGTCTTTCTTTCAAGGCACCTCTGGGTAGAGTCTTTCCTCCAACCTTTTGCTTAACAGTCAAGCACATTAACCATTTGATCACCTAGCGACTACAAAACCCTTTTTTCTTTTTGCCAGATCCTCGAGGGACTCACTTATGGGAATTCATCCGCGACATCCTCCTGAACCCAGACAAGAACCCAGGGTTAATAAAGTGGGAAGACAGGTCTGAGGGCATCTTCAGGTTCTTGAAATCAGAGGCTGTGGCTCAATTATGGGGAAAAAAGAAAAACAACAGTAGCATGACCTATGAAAAACTCAGCCGTGCTATGAGGTGAGGAGTTTCCCATCTCTAAAAATGATGAGGCCGCACGACCAGTTATTTACCCAGCAGCCTTATCTGAGCAGCCACCTTAAGCAGTTTCCTTTGTTGCAGATATTACTACAAAAGAGAAATTCTGGAGCGTGTGGATGGACGAAGACTGGTATATAAATTTGGGAAGAATGCTCGTGGATGGAGAGAAAATGAAAACTGAAGCTGCCAACACTTTGAACATAAACCAAAACACACACCAGATAAATAACAAAGAACTCCTAGACATAAATATTTCAAAGACGGCTTTTCTCTGATATTTATGTACCAAAAGGAAAAAAAAAAATCTACTTCTAATGGGAAGAAGGAACACTACAGTTGATAAAATTATTTTGTTACTTTGAAGTATGTCCTATATGGGGAACTAATGTACACAGTTTTCTGTGAAATATGATGCTGTATGAGGTTGTGATTTGTTTTTTGCCTCTATTGTGAAGTTCTTTTCCACTGCAAGAATAACTGGGTTTATAACCTTGTGCTTCTTGCTAAGAGAAAGAAAAAAAAAATCAGAGGGCATTAAATGTTTTTATATGCAAAATGATTTAGAATAAGGTGATGTATCCTCGGCACATCCATGTGGCTTTGTTAAGAGAGAAGGGCATGATTGCTAGGTGAACTCCAGGATCTCAAGTCAAGGTCATAAACCTGAAGGAAATGGGAAGCATAACCTCCCCTCTAGGAGCCAGTGAGTGGAGAATGGGGACTTCCGAAATCCAGGGTGGACTGTAATCTCTGTGTATCACATGACTTGCAGTGTTTAAATCAATGAGAAGAATAATGGTGGGGGCCTTTATACTCATTCTGAAATGATTTACCTGATACCAAGGCAATCTACCCCCTACCTTGCATGGTTGGTGAAAAAACTTCAATTGCATCCTCTGTTCACATGTAATTAAGGAGTCCTGTTTGTAAGATGGTTAAGAGCTCAGCTGCGAACCGAAAGGTTGGTGGTTCAAACCCACCAGCCACTCCATGGGAGAAAAATGTGGCAGTCTGCTTGCATAAAGATTTACAGCCTTGGAAACCCTATGGGGAAGTTCTTCTCTGCCCTATAGCGTCGCTATGAGTTGGAATCGACTCCACAGCAATGGGCTTGGTTTGGTTTTTTTCAGTCTTGGTTCTTTTTATCTCAACTGCTTAAAAATAAGTAGGAAAAAGGAAGTGGTGGTGTGGAAATGACTGATGAGTTTCCTAGTCTGTCTCTTAAGCCCAGTATTTCTCAGTCACCACTATTGACATTTTGGGGCTGGATAATTCTTTGTTGTGGATCTGTCTTATGCATTGTAGGATGTTTAGCAGTATCCCTGACCTCTACCCAGTAAATGCCAGTAGCACCCCCCAGCTGTGACAACCAAAACAGTCTCCAGATACCACCAAATGTCCCTGATGAGAACCACTGAGTTAGCCAGTCAAGATAAAAGATGGCAGTGTATTCTCAGGCCACAATGATTTGTAACATCTTTTAGTCTCTAGAGGAAAGCAAAAGCAAGACTTCAGTGTCAACCCATTTTTAATTTTTAAGAAGTTAGAGACAATGGATTGAAATAGCTAGCGGGAGTTCTTTTCAGAACCCCAGATGAGAGCCAAAGTCAGATAAATTAAGTAGGGTTAGGTAGTATGAGCTACAGTAGAAGACATTTTCACTGGAATTACAAAGCAGAGCCAAAGTTATATTGCAGAAGGAAGAAATGGGAACACGCTAAGGGACTCTTTGCATGAATGGATGTGTGTGTCTGTGTGAGCTCTGGGGAAATCCATCTTTGCGGGTTATAATTCTTATAATCTTTCCTCTTTTAGATCATCTTTCTCCTGTCTCATCCAAACTTGTCCCAAAGTGAATGGTTTGTTGGCTAGACTTGCATCCAAAGGAATGTTAAAAAAAAAAAAAGAAAGGAAGGATGAAAAAGGGTAACAGAAAACTCAGCTCAGGAGCTAGTGTCACTAGGGAGTTTGGGGCCTTCTTGCTCTAGGGTACCAGGAAAGTTGTCATTGGGCCAAGCAATCTGTAGAAAGGCTAGCGTGTAGACACTTTAAAAATGAGTTTGAAAACCCAGATTTCTTTTGCGACTTTTCTTTCTGGCTCCCCCGTGTCCTTGGCTTTCTCCTCTATCCTGTTTCTTTACCTTGAGCAATAATACGGGGAAGAAGACATGCACCAAGAGGAGGGAGTAAGACCTACTGGCTCTTCATCAATTAATAGAGCACCTACTACGGTGTCTTACCCAGCAGATCTGCGCAAAAGTTGCAAAGTGTTGGTAATGTATCCAGAAGTAAGAAGAATTAAGAACTTGTCCCAGCTATAATGAGAAGCAGGTGGGTGCTCTGGGAGGATCAGCTTATTGAGATGAATGACCTGAAGATACAAGCAAATCTGTCCATTTTTATTTCTGCCTTGCTTGGTCACCTCCGCAAAGGTGTCGTTTGGTATTATCAAGTAACAGCTACGATGGGAGCTGAGAAAAATCATAATGAACAGCGAAGACCTTGACTATGCAAACAAGACTTCACTGCAGAAAGACAAACTCCACTTTTAAAGCAAAGGTAAACAACTGTGGGGCCTTCCTAGCACTTGGCTATCCCTCACGCAGTGTATTAAACATTCAGATATTTGAAATTGGTATAACAAGTGGATATTTGTAAGTCTGTGTGTGTCTGAATTGTGTGAAGTTCTTGGGGGTATCTCCCAGTTTGCTCTCTGCTGTTCCTTCCTTGACTTTACTTCTGTGCATCACCCAAGGTAGCGAGATCTTCTCTGAGCTCATCCTTCCCCAAACCTGTAAGTTTCTCACATTCCCCCAAAGTGGCCTGGGCTCTTTCTGCAACCTCTCCATTGAAGAGCAATCCCTGCTAGTTGTAAATGAATCTGGGGAGTAACGACTGGAACAGGTCTGCAGATAATTAGCAGATTGTGTTATTCGTTGCAAGTGACAGTTTCTTGGCATCCGATACCTGCTTAAATAGGCTGGAGTATTAAGTTCTCAGCATATCCCTCTATTGTCTTGGCTTGAGTTTGATGCATTTGCTATGTGCTGTTCGTGACTTGGAGAACTCAGGGTAATCAAGCCCTGCCAACCTGGGGTGTGAACAGAGTACTTTCCAGCATGGTGTTGAAAGGGAGAGCAAAGTCCCAGCGATAAGCCAGTATAAGGTGGAGCCCCCACCTTCTTTTGGGGACACACAACTTCTCATTTGAGAATGTATGCATGGTCACAAAGCATGGTCTCCTCGAACCTTTCTTAAGCTAAAGGCCTGGGCTCTTATTTGCAGCTCTCATGGGAACCTGAGGCAGGAACTGTATTGCTAAGACTTTACTAGACCTATATCATCTGAGGCTCCTAGATACTTGACTTGATAATACTTGAGTAAGGTACTAGCTTCCAGGGACATATCCTACAGCTTCTTGAATCTGCCTTCCGAGCAAGCAGACCCAGTTATATTTTCTTTTGAGCACATTTGTCCCTTCTCAACAGTTCTTGCCTTGCTAGACTGTAAGCTCTTTGAGGGCAGGGACTGTGTCTTGTCACTACTGTTTTCCCATTACCAAGCATGAGACAGGCAATCAATATTTGTTGAGTTAATGAATGACTGTCTTCTGGAAGACTCCTCTGACTGAAGGCCGTATCAATAATTGGGACATGAATCATTTCTACACTGGAATAAGAGCACAAGGACCAAACCCTCAAGCACACATTATGTATTAGATGAACATTTTTCTGTGAGACTCTTTACTTTGCCTCCCTACCTGCGCTGAAATGAAACCAAAACAGGCTGTTTGGTTCCACAAGTCAATTTATGTTGGATGAGAATTTTGTTGCCTTATTTGGAACTGTGAGATACCTGGTACAAGAAGCCAGTAATGAACCTTTGACTTGTTTTAACCAATGAAGATGATGAATGTGTTTATATGATGTAAATTGCTATTTAAATGTAAAGCACTTCTACGTTTGAGTATTTTTGGGTTGGTTTTTATTTTATATTTTTCATTTTGAAAAATGAGGAATCTTTTGATAAGGTTAGTAAAGCATGTTAGATTTTAGTTTTGCAAGTGTGTTATTTTTCAAATGCATAAAATATAGAGAAAGGTGAACTAGTAAGAGGGAAAGGCAATTATATTATTCTTCTATAGTTAAAATAAGCATTTGTTGAGTGCCTGCTATGCGCACAGCATGAAACTATGTATGTGAGGAGCTTGTGTAATTACATAGGGTTGATAGATACTTGGTGTGCACCTGATGGATGGATACTTACTGTATGAATAGAGAAACAGCATAGCAATCAATACCAGAGTTGAATCATCCTCAGCGTTGACTCTCAGGATTCAGTTTCTGGAATAAGAGATAGAGCATTTAAAAAACTTGTTAAGAGTGTGTCTTATGAACCACTGAAATGTACAGGCCTTCACAAGTTTAGCTAAATTGGGATTAATCTTTCTATAGCTGTCTGCATAATTCTTGCTTTTCTTCCCATCTGGTTTCTGGGTTGGCAATTTGTGGGAAACAACCTGACTGCCACTGTTTTTTAAAAATCAGAAATCTTGCCCTTTTAAACTACACAGTTAAATTCATGCTGAGGACTTCTGTTTTGTGAAAGAAGTATATTTTTCAAAATAAGGTTTCTTGTTTGATGGGTCCCAGAAAACACTAATAAAAACCACGTAGACCAGCCTGTAATTGTGTCTTTCATTCTTCAACAAACCATCTGGAGCTGGGCTTAGAGTAAGTGCACTTAGTCTATAGCCATGGAGCATTAGCAGTTTCTGCATTCATTTACTCAAGAAGCCTCTATTGAGCATCTACTATGTGTCAAGCACTGTCTTAGGTGCTGAGTTATGGTAGAGAAACAAAGAGACAAACATATCTGCTGCCATGAAACTAATGCTTAATTGGGTGGAAACAGACAGGAGCCAAAAATTAACAAATAAATGTAGCATATCAAATGTGTAGTAAAGAAAAGTAGAGTAAGGAAGAGGAGTAGAGAGTATGAAGCATATGGGGGTATACTGCAACTTTAGGCAGGCTTAAGAAGGAAACATTTCAGTAAAGACCTGGAGGAGCTAAAGGAAGGTGCCATGTTGATAAGTAGGGGAGACTGATCGCACAGAGAGACCAGCATGTGCAAAGGTCCTGAGATGGGTGTGTTCCTGACATGTCCAAGGTACAGTGAGGAGATCTGTTTGCCAGAGTAGACTAAGCAATAGTAGGACATGCTGTGAGAGAGGCACTGGATGATCAGATCACACAGAATTTGGAAACCATGTGAAGGCTCTAGTTTTTCCTTTGAGTGAAAGGAGTACCATGCTCTAACTTTGGTTTTAAAAGGATCCTTCCAGCTGCTGTGTTGAGAATGGATTGCAGGGGAGCAATTGGTGCTAGATGTACATTCTTAGTGAAGGATGAGCAAAGGGAGGTAGAAAAGATCACTCCCACAGCCAGGTTTCCAATGCAATACTTAACTAAAATGTTTCAGACAGGAAGTGAGCTCCATCAGTTCGTAACACACTTCTCCCTGGGCCCAGAAGTCTCAGTTGTGCAGTCCCTTACCTTCATAAATCATAATGAAAATAATAATAGCTAACCTTTTAGAAAGGTTCACTTGGTCCCACACACTCTGATATACTCTTTATATACAGTAAACCCTGCCAAAGCCAGAACCTGTGTAACACGGAAACCTGTCAGAGAAGGAAAATTCAAATATTTTCCACTAAACAGAGAGCGCTGGAAAAGTGGTGACTGCAGCCTGTCAAAGGTGGAAAACTTGCATGACCCAGAAAAACAAGGCAGTCTCATCGAGTTCCGGCTCTCACAGGGTTCACTGTACATTTTTATATTTAATCCTCACACAAGCCTGTGATAAACAGATGTTATCCTCAATTTCTAAATGAGGAAAATGAAGGTTAGAAAGGATAAGCTACTTTGTGTTACATAGCTAGTAATAAGCGGTAGAGCTGGCACTGTGCTCCAGATCATTTTCCCAAAGTCCTTTACATTTCTTAACCTTTACGTTTCTCTAGTTCCTCGGAATGCTAATGTTACCCACACATACACTCACAAACGGTTCCATGGTTAAAGTTTGAGAAACACTGAAACAATGTCTAACAGGACTTCTCAAGAGCCTTGATTATGTTGATGTGCCTTGTGATTCACCAAGAGAGAGAAGAAGTGTGCCAGTTTCCCAAGCCTATTTGACAATGAAATCTTCTCATCAAACGAGACTTCATGGAATCAATGCTGCTTAGAACACAGTGAGGGAAATGATGATCTTTAGAGATTACTTCTCAGATTTAGAACAGGAGGTATTTTCATGTTTGGGCCAAATAAGTACCCTGGTAATATTCCTGCACATCAAACTTGACCAACTTTGAATATGTTTCACTTTTTTTTCTTATTAAGAAAAAAATCCCCTCACTGTGCTGGGCATTATTTATTTGCATTAATACATTTGTTTAGTCATCATAAAGAACTGGATGACTCTTTGGGAACTGTGAAGCCTTTTGAAATTTTACTGTCTACAAGTATCTGTGCAAAACTATGGGTACTAGCAGCATGGTGTTATTTAAGTTTAAATTAATTTAAATTTATGTAAATTACAAATTTAGTTCCTTAATTGTACTATCCACATTTCAAGTGCTGAATAGCCAAATGTGGCTAGTGGTTACTATATCGGACAGTGCAGATATAGAACATTTTCATCATCACAGAAGGTTCTAATGGACAGCAATGCTCTAGAATCTAGTCTGGGGAAGGTGAGGTCAGGGCGGCTAGGGCAATGCAGAAAACCAGTTAACCTGTGAAATAAGATCCAGTGAGACTTAGAAACCAAAGGTAAGTACAGGGAATGGTAGAGAAAAAAAAAAAAGATCTAAAGCAAATATCTGTGTGTTTGCTGGAATGGTGATGGATTCTCCTAGTGCAAACAAGTTCGACGCTGTCACTAGATCATCTGGCCTGGGAAAATTTGATTTTTATTTTATTAATATCTTATTGTATTTTTACTCATGAAGAGTGTGCTGCATAGTTCAAGCAGATACATGAAACTAAATGAGTGACTCCTGTCTGGAGGCAGGATGAGAAGGCAGAAAGGGACAGGAGCTGGTTGGATGGACATGGGAAACCCAGGGTGGAAAGGGGGAGTGTGCTGTCACATAACAGTATGTGTATAAATTTTTGTATGAGAAATTAACTTGACCTGTAAACTTTCATCTAAAGCACTATAAAAAAAATAAAAAAATATTGTATTTTCGGCAAAGGTTTATACAGCAGTTTAGGATCCCATTCAACAATTTCTACACAAGTTGTTCAGTAACATTGGTTACATTCTTCCTAATGGGTGAACACTGGCATTATTTTCGTTCTGGGTGTTCTGTTTCCATTAATCTAGTTTCTCTGCCCCCTTTCGTTCTCACCTTTGTTTTAAAGTAATTGTTGACTCTTTGGTCTCATATAGGTGTTTTTTTAAAGGATCACAGTACTTATGGGTGATATTATTTTTTGAGGTAATTTGTTATTTAGCTACAGGGTGATCTAAAGGGTTAGTTTCGGTTCAAGGTTTGAAGAGTATCTCAGGGCAATAGTCTCAGGGAGTTCTCCAGTCTCGACCAGTCCAGTAGGTCTGGTTTTTTGTTTGTTTTGTTTTGTTTCTTTGTTTCTTTTGGGAATTTGAGGTTCTGTTCCACATTTTTCTCCCATTCTATCAGGGTCCATCTATTGTGGCCTGATTAGGATGGTCAGTAGTGGTAGCTGGGTACCATCTAGTTCTTCTAGTCTCAGGGTAGATAAAGCTGTGGTTCATGTAGACTGTTTGTCCTGTAGACTAGTTTCTTCCTTGAGTCTTTGGTTTCCTTCTTTCTCTTTTGCTCTGGACAAGTAGAGACCAATAGTTGTATCTTAGACGACAGCTCACAAGCTTTTAAGACCTCAGACACTACTCACCAAACTAGGATATAGAACATAACTTTATGAAATATATTATGCCAATGGACTGAGATGCCCCACAAGACTATAGTCCTAATCCTTTAAACTCAGAAATCCAATCCCATGAGGTGTTTGGTGAATTTGATTATTTTTGTCTCCAAATACCAGAAGCCCTATAGTCATTAATATGAGTCTTCCAAGGATGTGGTTTTCTGGTTGAGAATATTGACAGTGATGGGCTAGAAGTGGATGGGAAGGGAAATGAAAGGTCCCCAAATAAGAATAGCTACCACTGCCCACTGTCTGCTACAAATGGCACTCACACCACTTTCTTATTTTCATGACCAACTTCTTGAACAAGTAGTCTACCCTTAGGCTCTCTATTTCCTTATAAGTTAATTCTCCATTAACTATCATCATCTAGTTTCTGTTCATATTAAGTTATTGATAATGACTTATTGAAGGTTATAATCAAGTTCATCCCTGAATCAGGGACTATGCTTTAGCTGTTCTCTCTGCCTAGAATACACTTTCTTTTGATGTTCATGTGGCTGGCTCCTTCTATTCATTCGGGTCTTGTTTCAAAAGTCACCTTTTCTAATCATAGCTTCAGTTGCTGACATACTCCCTAGATCTAGGATGCACCTGATACATGTGCCTGGCTTCATAAATATTTGTTGAATAAACAAGTGAAGGACCTTCTTATTTTCAAATTCCAAGGCCTTTCTTCTGACTTCATGATTTTTGACACTGGTGACCCTCACTTCTTTACTTTTGGAGAAGATTTGCTTCCTTGTTTTCTGCAACAGTGAAATTCTTCTTCTTCTTCACGTTTCTGAGTACTCATTCTTCACTTCTTACTCTTCCATCTTTCATACTCTATGTGTTTCCCAAGATTAAATCCTTAGTCCTTTTCTCTTCTCTTTTTTATATCCTCTCCTTCAAAGCTTAGCCTTTTAGACAGTGGCATCACTAGGCAGGTGTGGAGGCGTGTGGACTGCACCCGGTGACACTGTCAGAGGTGGTGACACCAAAATGATTGTCTAAAAAAAATCCCTGTATTTAGTTACAACAACAAAAATGTTTTTTGTAAGCCCTGCAAGGCTAATACTGTATGCTAATTTACGTTTTGAACCTTCTTATGTGCTGTGGTCAGAGCTATCATTATTACCCAATTGTAATGACTCTTCGAATCACGTGGTTTCATCTGCACATGCTACAAGCACACGCTGTTGTTTTCGTCAATGTTCTGGTGTTTTAGCTACAGTATTAGTATTTGTGATTAGAATTTCTGAGCCTATGTCGATAACTTTTTTGAGAATGAAGTAGTAATTAAAGGAAAAGAAGGAGTGCTATATGGGAATTACGATTTACAAGTAACATTAGAACAAAAACTATTAGTAAAGATTCTGCGTGGTCTGGTACAGGAGGAGGTCCATGGCAGGGGGCATTGTGACACCATGAGTTACTGCACTGGGTGACATCAACCCTAGTGATGCCACTGCCTCTAGAAAGCTCAGGTCAGAGACTTCATAATGATATGGGGAGATGCAAGCTGTCTTGTTTCTGGTCCTGGTTTTAACTCTAACTAGGAATAGACTATGGGAAAGTCACATTCCCTATGTCTTTGTTTTTCATCTATTAAATAGAGATGCATACATACTTTACAGCAGTGTTGTGGGAATCAGATGAATGGATTCTAACATTTGCTCATATTATAATTTATAGAGGGATTATACATACAAAAACTGTGCTAAGCACTTTGCTATTATTTTTCATTTAATCCTCATTATAACCCCATAGGCAGGTACTATTGTTATCTCCATTATACAGATGAGGAAGCTGAGGCTCAGAGAGATAAAGTATCTTGCCTGAGTTCACCCTGTTGACATATGGCAGAGCTGGGATTTGAACCTATGTCTGACTGAGTCCAGAGTGTCTTAATCATTATACTCTACTGTCTCTCTTTGAAAGTGTTATGAAAAGAATTAAACACTGAACAAAGGAAATTTCTGAATTTGCAACAATTCAAAGAGAGATATTTAGAGTGTCTAGATTGGGAATGTGATGATATCGAGCTAACATGAGTATCTTGAAGTCATTTAACCCTGTGTTACAGTCATAGCTGACTTAGTTCCTAGCCAGGAACTAAAATTCAAAGAGGATTTGGTGTCTGATGATCCTTAAAATTATAGCACCAGAAACAGAGCTGGAAGATCATTTAGTGCAAACTCCTGTCATGAAATCCCAGGCTACTTAATGGACAGACTCCAGGTCACCCAGATGATTAGTGGCCAAGCTAGTAGGGAAAGCCAGTTTTCCCATTCGTGAATACTTCCACTCATACATGAACCTTCCTGGCCATGGGTCCCCCACCCCATTGTCACAGAGGGGCTCAAAAATGCTCCCCTTTCCTCCTGACCTCCGTGGTGATGCTATACAACCTTCTTCTTATGCTGATTATTTGAATTCAGCCAATATCATCTAGCTTCCAGATCCAAGTCAGGTTAAGGAGGAAAAACTGCACAGCCTAGACATTTGTG